AAAGACCATGGGTTGCTCTGCCTTGCTGACCCCACCCTTGCTTTTACAGGGTGATCTGATCACAATCAGGTCCTGGTGGGTAGGTCATACCCTACCTCTTTAGGAAAGATTTATCTTTGCCTTAAGCAAGTCCTGTCCATTGTTTCTGTGCACGTAAAGTAACAGAGTTTTGAAAGAAGCTGTAACCACTCTCAAGGAAGTACATAATCTTGTTAACTATCCTGTAATCCTATCCCTGCCTTGCTTTTTTTCCCTTCGTCTTTACAGTCCTTCCTTAATTTCAAATACATAAAAGATTCTGTAAAACTATTATTATTCAGATCGTTTTGAGATTTTGTTCCCTAGCATGTGTTGTCAGTTTGGCTCAGATAACCTCATAAAAATTCTCTATAGGTTTGGATGGGTTTTTTTGCATCAACAGGGTATATACATTTTGTTTATGTGTTCATGTGTTGAGAGGCGCTGCTCAGAAAATGCTCTACAGAGACATAATGCTGGAGAACTATGGGAACCTGGCCCCAGTGGGTAAGACCGGCCTTATATCTTTATTGGTAGACTTTTGACGCAAACATTTCTGAAGCACCTGCTATGTTCCAGGAATCTTTCTTGGTGTTAGGAAAAGAGTGGTGAAGAAGAGATGTGGCCCACACTTTGAGGAGTGACAGTATAGAGCAGGGGCAGGCACACTTCCCTTAAAGGGCCAGAGAAAAAGTATTTTCCGTTTAGTGGCCCATAGGATCTCTGCTGCAACTACTCAATGCTGCCAATGTAGTGCCAAAGCAGCCGTAGACGGTATGTACAGAAATAGGCAGGAATGTTTTTCAATAAGACTTTCTCTACAAAAGTAGGTGGCTAACCTTTGGACTGTAGTCACCCGTTGGGAATGAAGAGTCCTCCATTATGCTGATTGATTATTTTCTTCATGATTAGAAGCTTGGTGCTCTGGAAGTGCGTCCGCGCTTGGGCCTGAGGGTCCCCGATTCCTGCAGGGCATGGCATTAGGTAGCCTGAGTTTTGGGTCCTGAGTACCATCGAGGCACTGCTCATGGGGTCGTGCATGCCCATCTCCTGGAAGTTTTGGTCCCCCTCTGGGGGGTGGGGAGTTTCCTTTTCATCCCTGCACGTCCCTCCGGTGGGTGCAGGGTATCATCTCTGTAAGCCCCATGCGCTCACCCAGGTGGGGCAAGGGGAGCTGAGGAACAGAGGGAGAAGAATTCTCCAACCTATCAGTGCAGGGGAGCCCTGGGTGAAGGGGACCCCTTTAGGGAGTTTCCAGAATGTTATTTTGTCTGAGAGATCACCTCAGCCCACTTGGGGTGAGTTTCCTCTGGAAGCTTCAGCTTTCCTCCCTCTCCTCTTCTCTTTTCTCCCCCACTTTCTTTTGCTCTCAGGGAAAGCTCTGTCCTGCTTTCTCTTTCCAGAACACTTCCACTTTTGTAAATGCAATGTCACTGGAACATGGCCCCGCCTACTCGTTCGTTCATTTTCCCGCTGTTCCCAGACTTTGCTTGTCTGACAGTGCTCTCTGTCAGACTATTAACCCCCCTCTCATTTTTGACAGAATCCTATCTTAGCAAGTCACCTGCCATTTTCCACCCCTCGTTCCTGTCATTGTCAAATTCTTTACATTGCCGAAATCCTTGAACTCTGTCTTTAACTGCTGGTCTATTCTTCCTGGTCACCTTGACTTCTCATGCTTGGGGTCAGGTTCTGAAAAAAATTTGTATGGGCCTGGCTTATTTTTAAAAAATTACCTTTATTTCATCATTTATTTCTCCAGGAATTTAGTTTTTTTCTTTCCATTCATTTCAGACCAGAAGTCTTGACTTCAACTTAAAACCAAAGAGACCACTGTCAAGCAGAATAAAGTTTGGGAAAAACCACCTGCTGGCAGGAAAAGAGGAGGGCTGTCCAGGGCTCACTGCTGGCTTTCTGGGCTGGAAGCCTGGGTTGCCTTGAGGGAGAAGAACAGAACAGCCCCAAAGAGGCGGCTGAGGCCAGTGACCTTCACCCACCAGAAGTTGTTGCTCAAGAGAGAGTCTCTGCGTATTATGAGTTTGGGGAACATTCTAAAGTGATTATTCATGGAGAAGTCCCACAAACAGGAGTATCCATAAATATGACTCATATAGTGAATACTGACACATAATTAAGTTTTTGTTTAAATAGTTATCAGGAAAAGTCTGTACATAATAAGCTTTACGAGTGTCATGACTGAGATAGAGCCTCGTGGCAGAGCATTCACTTTATTCAATTTGAAAGGATGCAAAGGAGGGGGGCAGTAGGCATGTTCTAGACATGGTAGCAGTTTCTAATGTGGGATTTTGCTTTTTTTTACATTGCAGACCTTTTCTGGGGGACAATCACTGTGAATGCAAGCAAAGTGAGAAAGCCTCTCAGTACCGCTTATCCCTCAACAAACAGGCACCAACACATCCTGGAGGGAAACCCCATGAATGTAATCTATGTGGAAAAATCATTGGAAGAAGTTCTAACATTTTGCCCAAGAGAAATTACACAAGAGAGAAATACAATGAATATAAAGAATGTGGGAAAGTGCTGTTATCCTTCATCCCTTAAAATCCATGCTCAGTCTCAATGCCAGTGAGAAACCGTATGAATGTTTTCGGTCACCACTCATCCCTCAGGACAGACACACGTGGGGACTCACACTGTTGAGAAACTGTGTAAGTGTAACCAGCGTGGGAAATTCTTCGGATCTAGCTCGAGCCTGGTCATACACAGGCAGGCACGCACACCTGGGAGAAGCTCTGCCAATGCTGTGACTGGGGAAAGGCCTTCAACAGGGCTCTCACCCGACTGCCCACAAGAGGGGCCACCCCGGGAGACGATGTACCAGTGCAATGACTGCAGGAAACTTCAGTGGTCACTCATTCCACAGGTAACATGTGAGAACTTGCAGTGAGGAGAAGCCTTGGGAATGGAAGTATGTGGGAAGGCCCCGTCCATCTCACAGGTGAATGTTTTCAGTCTGGGGGAGACTTCTGCTGGCCTTTGCCTTCCACACAAGGGAATTTGGAGTGGGAGAGAAACTTTATAAATGTTGCAAATGTGGGATTACTTTTCTAAAAAAATCAAATCAGTGTCATATGCTTTAAGTTGGAAATCTCATTTGTTAATTTTCAGTCTGTGTTTTTTAGTATAGGCATTTAAGGCCATAGATAGCCCTTTATATACCCCTTTAGCAAGATTACATGGGTTTTAAAAATAATTAATTTTAATTAATTTTTGGTGTCCCTCTTCCATTTTCATAAATGTGCTAGACACTTAGGCACAGAGTGAGAAAGGTTTATAGTTTGTTTTCCAGCTTTTCTCTGAGGATATTCAGAATTAATAAACCAAGCAATGCAGCTTCCAGGAATAAAGAAAAGGGACCCAGTGTGTCCTATGGATTTTCTCTGTCTGTGGCCACCATACTAATGGCATATTCACCCCAATTCACAAACAGTGCAGAACTGTGGGCCTGAACTGGCTGGAGCTCAGCAAACTGCCCGAGAGCCTTGGCTTTGGGTCCGAACCAAGGAGACACTCTGCTAGACACCAATGAGAGGGACTTCACTGAATACACCAGTCACGTTCATATATTATCTGCAATGTATAGTTTACAAAGACCTGGTGCTTCCAGAACATGAGTGGCGGAGGCCAGCTCGAGGCACTGCGTGTTGAAGCTGTCCCCTTCTCCGCCGGCGACAGCCTGGAGCTGGGCGGCTTGTTCTGCGTGCTGTGGCAAGACTCCAGCTCTGTGCGGCGGTCCGTCGGAGCCGCACGCCCACGCCCTCGCCCTCGGGCCGGCAGTGCCCGGTCCGTTGCACCATGGCCCCAGGCTGCTGAAGGGCGACCTTGAGATTGCCCAGGGAGAGCACAGAGTGGCATCGTTTTTGGCCGCTGCATTTGTTGAGTTACTCCTTAAAATTTCTGTGAAGAATCTGCGGGCTTCTGCATAGTTACTCTGACCAAGGTGAAGGAAAGCTCTGTTTATTAAAATCATTATCTTCCCGTACAGCCCATCCACTTTCTGTTACTTTCTTCACACCTTGAAAACCCTTCAGCCGTTTTAACGTCTCCAATCTGAAGGAAAAAGCAGCGATGCACTGAGCAGCCCCGGCTCCTGCTCCGGGGGGGCCTGGGAGACAGGGCCGCACCACCCACGGCCTGCACGGCGTCGCGGGAAGGACACGCCCCTCCTGGCTCGCCCCGCGGACTTACACCTGAGGTCTGTTCCTGTACGGAGTCGGCGAACATCCTCCCGTCTTGAAGGCTCTATGAGGATCCGCAGTAGTTATTTAGGCCTGAGGGTCTCTCTGCTTCCACCTTGTAAGTAGCAAGTAGGATTTCACCTGGACTGTCTCTCTAATGCTTTCTTTCCTTCATCAGAAACGGGCAGTTTGCCGTGGAGCATGTCCCCTGGCCCAGGACGAACCTCCACGGCTGCATGGAGGCTCAATCTGACCTGTCGGCTTTCTGAATGCGCTTTCTTCCACGGCCAAGACTAATGGTCAGTTTTGAGGTGACAATCACCTAGAAATTATGCTTATTCTTGGAGTGATTGATCCCTGGGATTATCTCGTGCAGGCAGGTCTTCTCCACCGGGCTTTGTTTATAGGCAAAATTTATGTGCTCAATGGTAGTTATGTTCCTGAGGAGTGGGCAATAGTCCACCTCGCATCCAGCCCGATTGTCCCAAAACTTGTAGGCAAGACTAATGGCTCCCCAAACAATTCTTTTCTAATGAGTGGGACAAATGTCGATCCCGGCATAAGTCAAAAGCCTAAGTAACCAAAGTTACTATTGCACAGTTAGCCGTTAGCTGGATAGCTCTGAAAATCGCATGAAAAAAAACACTGTGTATAAATTTGGGTTTAGGACCTTGCTTAAAATATTCCTCTGGAAACATTTCTCATGTCAGTGGATGTAATCTTTCATCAAAAATACTGTTTCCAGCCCTTTTTCTTTTTTTCTTTTTTCTCTTTTTGTCCACGCGGGGGCGCACTGTTCCGGAGCTACTGCAAGACCGGGTCGATGTACCTACAGCGTGGTCGGAGCAAGCTCCTATTCCATCTCCCTCCTCAAAAATCCATTTAATATGTTGTCCTCGGGTAGAGGGTGTATCAGATATTAAAGTGAGAAGAGCAGATACCTATGTTTGATCTTGGACAAAAGGCTGAGACGTGATCCAGCTCTGTCCCTCATGAGGAAATATATTTCTAAGGTCACATATTAGACTGTGATTCTAAGAATAGGCCGGCTGACTGTGCTAGGAATACAGGTGAGCAAGAGCTACACTTTTTAGTAAGGCATGCTGGGAATACGTGGTTAAGTAGTTGGTCCTCTTTTCTTGCTCATCTGTTTCAGAATTGTCCAGAAAAACTGTATTTGCCCTTGGATGGTCAGAAAGGTTTGATTCTAAAGGTTACGCTTGGGGTATCTCCCATTTGCTCATATGCTGAGCATAGTTGCCTTCGCAGGCTCCACAATCCAACCCTGCTCCAGGGCAGCTGCGGCGGGTCGAACTGTCATGGAGTCCCTGGTCCCTGCCTCATAGACCTCACAGTCATTGTCAGGCTTCCCTGGCCCAGATTGCTGGCCCAGCTTGGGGCTGGCCTTTGGCTTCAGGCAGCAGGTCTGTTTGTTCCCCTTGAGGAGCCTCCACTCCTCACTGCTGTCACCACCTTCGCTCAGCTGTGCCCTCCCTCCCAACAATGTCAAAGCCTTGTGCCACCCAGGAACCGATGTGCTGCCAAGCCCTGGAGAGGGCTCAGGGCCGGCTGCACCCCCGCTGCCGCTCTGCTGCTGCCTCCCTTGTACTGGTCTGTAGCTCATTTCTAATACGAGGTAACATTGGTTAATAACATTATATAAATTTCAGGTGTACAACCTTGTAATTTGATATCTGTATACTCTGCTGCGTGCTCACCACCAAAAATCTAGTTTCCATCCATTACCATGTATGGACCCCCTTTTCCCATTTTCCCCCTTGACCCCATGACCTAAGGCTTTTAAAATTTTTGTTTAGTTCTGAATATTGTCTGATATCCCTTAGATGTATTTTAACTCACAGTGTCATTTTCCTTTGAGCTTATCAAAATACTACTTCATTTAAATTTTACCTGAACTCTCTCCTTCCCCCAAATTCTATAGTAATCATATGCCTTCCTTTGTTTGGTGAGACGCCCCATGGTTCCTCAGGTGTGGGGTCTCCCTCATTGTAATGAGCCAGTAAACGTGACTTTGTCACACCATAGGTTTTGTCCTTTGTGGTCTGTGGCTGATTGTGTTGGAACAATAACATGCAGTTATAAAGATGTTCTACTCTCTTGACTTCTAAAATGTTAAAAAAATTCTTCTAAAATATTTTCAAAAATACTTTATTATCCATTATTGATTTTTTTACATATGGTATCATAAGGGGTCCAATTTACTTTCTTTCCTGGTAGATTTCCCTAGAACTCTAATCGAAAAGTGAGTTCCCATAAGTTGTTTTCTGTGTGCATGTTTTTATGTTTCTGGGCCTTCATTCTGTTCTAATCCATTTCTTAATCCCTGCATTAGTATAAAAAACTGTCTTTAATAACTTTATACTATTTTGTAGTATCTGAGGGGCAGGTTCCTATCCTTGTTTCTCTTCAAGAAGACTTGTCCCTTCTGTGCCTTTTATGTCTTCATATGCATTTAACAATAAGCTTGCAGAGTTCCACAAAAAAATCATAGTGGTATCATGTCTGGAATTAATTGAACCAGTATTGGTAGAACCAATAGCTTTATGTTATTAAATCTTTCAGACCATGAACTCTGTATCTGCATTTATTTAGGTATTCTTTAATATATTTCAGTAAAGTTTTATATCTTTTTCTGTGAGAGTCTGGTTCATTTGTTGTCAGATATCTTTCTAGGAACTCCACATTTTTTCATAAAATTATTTTTTCTCACTGCTATACAATTGGCCCTTGAACAATGTGGGTTTTGGGAGCACTGACACCCACCCTGCAGAGGGAAATATCTGGGTCAAGTTAGCCTGATAAACTTCATATAACTCTGCACTTTCCGAAAACTTAACTCCAGTTGCACCTCAGTATCTGCAAGAGATTGGTTCTAGGACCCTGTGGACACCGAAATCCGCAGATGCTCGTTTCCTTACATAATATAGCACAGATCAATGCACACAGTTGGCCCTCCATATCCACGGACTCCCAGCTGTGGACTGAAGTTGGGGATAGAGAAGGCTTGACTGTATGTTTATTGAAAAAAATCTACTAAAATGGTCAAACTTATAGAAGCAGAGGATATAGTAGTGGTTTCCAGGGATTAAGCGGTAAAGAAAATGGGAGTTATTATTCAATGGGTAACTTAGTTATGGTAGATGTGTAATTCCTAGGGATCTGCTGTACAACATAGTGTGTATAGTTAACAATACAGAACTGTCCATTTAAAAAATTTGTTAAGAGGGTAAATCTCATGTCAAGTGCTCTTAACAGCACATCCCCCCTCCCTCCACACAAAAGAGACACGGGGAAATTCAGGGAGGTGTCAGATATGTCTTTTACTTTGATTATGGTGATAGTTTCATCAGTATTTTCATATGTCTAAACCCATCAAATTGTATACATTAAATATTTGCAGTTTTAATATATTCATTATATCTCAATAAAGCTGTTCAAAGAAAACTGCATATAAGTGGACCCACAGAGTTCAAACCCATGTTGTTCAAAAGTCAACTGTATATTAAAAAGTAACTTTTCTTTGTATACATATATTTGTAATGTTTTGGGATGCTAGAAATCAATGTCTATTAAAAATTTACTAACTATTGTTGAAACAGATTTGTAAACATAGCACTTTCTTTTTCAATGGGTAGCACCTTGAAGACAAATATGGTAAAATCTTTGCATCTTTGACCACCTAATTTATGTTCAAAGTCAACTGATGAACTCCATGAAATGGAAGTTGGTGCTAATGGACAAGTCACAGTACTTTATAGTTAAATATATCTGCTCTTTTTATATTCCGTATTCCCAAGAAGACCAAAAAACTTTATATGTTTATTTCATGTAAGTAATCATTTCTTTCACTATCACTTAAAAACTATGTTTAATTTTATAATTTTGTCTCCAAACTTAATTTACACATAAAAATGCACTATTTAATTTAATTTAATTATCTTCACTTTATTTTTGTTGTTTACACTATTACAGATGACCCCATGTGCCCCACCGTTCTGCCCGCCTCCCCCGGCCCTCACCCTCCTTTCCTCTGGCCATTGCCACACTATTGTCTGTGTCTGCGGGTTAGGCATGTATGTACAGCACACCATTTTAAATATACACTCCTATAATCATCTCCCAATTCAGATATAGAACATCTCTACCATCCCAGAAAGTGTAAACAGATTGATTTTGTTCAGCGTTAACAAAGCTGCAGTTTCTATGCTGCACTTTCTAATTTGATCATTTTCCTTGTGTTCTATAAAAATCGTTCTGGACTTTTTGTGAAACAATGAATGGTTTTCTTTCCTAAGCTTCTGACTATTTCAAACTAAACTAGGCTATAAGTTTCTGGAGAAGGACTAGAAGTATATGTATTTTGCTGGCTCTCATAGATAATTCTCTTTGTGGAGTTGAGCTTGTAGCAAACTTACTACACTCTTATTTAGTAACTGATGTGTAGACCTTTGGGTATTTTCTACAGATGATCATATCTTCAAATACAGACAGATTTTATTTGCTCCTTTTTAAATCCTTGTACCTTTCTTATGCTTTTGTTGCCTAACTGTTCCTGGCTGTGGCATGAACCCTATCAGTTAGAAGCTGTATTAGGCAATCTTTTCTTCCTGATTTAAGGAGCACTCTTTCCATATTTCACCTTTCAGTTTGGTGTCTGCAGTAACATTTTTGTAGATAACTTTATCAGGATAAGAATGTCCCCCTCTTTGCCTAGGGTATTAGGTTCTTTCTCATGAACAGATGTTGACGTTCATCAAATGTTCGTTCTGCACCTCCTTGAAATGATAATACTTGTTCACTAGTATATTTCAAAACCCCTAGAACAATGGTAGAAACCATCATAGGCACTCAATATGTATTTGTCGAATGAATGAATGAATACATATAACTCTTATTTTTAACATGTTTGTGTGATAAATTTCTTTCATTGTCTTTCCACTGTGAGATTGGACTTGCATTCCTGGATTACTGGACCATCATGTATCTATTACACATCATCGCTCCTGGTTTGCTAATATGATAGGGCTTTTGCATCTTTGAGTGAGATTGGCCTGCAATTTCCCCCTACACATGCTGTCCTTTTTTGTTGTTTCAAGAATATGTTAGTTTTGCTTTGACTGTTGTGGCTCAGTGGGTTGGGTGTCGTTCTGCAAATGGAAAATTTCACTGGTTTGATTCCAGGACATGTGCCTTGGTTGCAGCTGGGTGGGGGCGTGTGAGAGGCAACCAGTTGAAGTTCCTCTCACACATCAATGTTTCTCTCCCTCTCTTTCTTCCTCCCTTCCCTTCTCTCTAAAAATAAATAAAGTCTTAAAAAAAAGAATATGCTAACCATATAAAAATTAATTGGGGTGATTTCCCCAAACCCCATGACTTCACCTGGATTCACCAGTTGTCAATATTTTTGACAGTTTTATACCTTTCTTTGCTTGTGTATAACTTTCTTTTTATAATGGCCATTACAGATATGTGTCATCGTTAGTGTTTCTCTTACTTCCTTCAGTATTTAGCGTCCTTCTTTGGCATTTATCCCGAGAACAAAGCCATTATCAGGTACTGGAAGATCTGAGATTTTCCCCTACTTATAAGCTAACAAGTTAGCCTGCCACAGTTTCATGGATGTTGACCAAAGACACCAGATGTCTGGGTCAGAGACCAAGGACTTTATTACAGCAGAACAGGAAACATTAGCTTCAGGTTCTTGTGAGTTTCCCTTTACTCCCAAATCCCACGGGTAATGTGAAGTGACTCTGGTGGCTGCTTCACATGCAGTGGGTTTGTGTTGCAGCTGAGGAACCCCAGGCCTTTCTAAAGCGCTACAGACAAACCGACCCGGTCTTTGCCCCAGAGGGGGACATCATTACACTGAACAGCAAACAAACCTGCCCTCTGCTGTGAGGACATTTGCTATATGACCATCCTTGAAGACACAGTCCAGAACACAGTAAGACACATG